TTATTTGTACTTTTTTTAAACTTTCATTAATTAAATTATTTTCATTTTACGTTGTTATTTTTCTTTGTTTCCGTTCAATTTGTCGTGTTGCAAACCTTACTGACTATTGAAGTGCGAAGTCGATTTCCAACAGATGTATGAATAAGACCTCAGAAATATAATCGAAAAAATGGGAGAAACGGGCAAAATTCACCCTCAACTGTCTTCCAGCGGCCCGTACTAGCGCCTACAAGTGCCGAGAAGCACACACATATAACGAATCATTACCATAAATGTAATTTTGCTTACTGGGTTAATAAATTAGTTTGTTATTATTATGATGTATACTATTTCTTTATTTCTAAATGTCGTATTTAATTAATTTGAGGAATAATCTCACTAAATACCACTTGAGCATTAAACTTGACCAGATAATTTCAAAGCTCTCATGGTATTACCCCCAATAATTTTAATTTATATAAATATAAACTGCAATCGAGCCATACAAGTTAAAATAATAATTAAGCTGTGTTAAAAATCGCCATAATTATTTAAAAAAAAATTCAGAAAGTTCTTCCAATTAGATTTTTAAAATTACTTATAACTTCCACTCAAAAGCTCAAAATTACCCAGTGAAAATACAGAAACTTAAAGTTTTCGAGCGCTTTTGACTATTCACGTATGCACCTAGCAAATCGATATGAGAACTTTAGGTAGACCGACAGAATATACATAAACACTTTCATTGGACTAAAGATCCTTTTGATTGTTGTGAAATTTGGCTACCGAAACATCCAACATAATTCATTACATAATAAAAATTCAAATTTTTCTATTCACCTACTATTACATCTCATTGGACACACTTCTATATGTCATATAAATTACACAATTTTATTGTCCATTCCCGGTAATACACTTTAAAGTTATTTTCACTCAAACCTTTGGTGAACTATTTCACTCGTCTACGAAAGTATAAAAACAATAATAAAAACAATAAAAATAACAGACGGAAAACACGCGTTTCCGACTCGCGAGGTTTAACCTTCTTCTGAACTCCGTCGCTGCTGTCACTTATCCCCCCGCCCCCCATGTTTCTCGTCGTCGCTTATATAGTTTTCTCCAGGTATCCCAGATAGTTCTCGAAATCTCCAGAACAGGTGCGAAACTTCCCGCTTGTCAGTGTCATA